TCTTAGTGATTTCCTTTTGGATCTATCCTGTTTGAGGTTCATTCAACTTCTTGAATGTTTATCTTCTCGTTTTTCATGATGTTAAAGAAATTTCCTTCTAATAACTCTTCAACAAAATTTTCTGTGCTTTTTATTGTCTCTTTCTGTCTTGGAATTCATTTCACCCATAAGTTATTCCTCTTCATGGTGTTCCATATAACTCTTAAGTTGCCTTTAAATTTCTTCATCTTTTTCAGAGTGTTCATCTAGTATACTAGTATTAAGAGATTTATCTTTAAGCTCATTAATTTTGGCTTCCATTGCTTCACATTTATTCCTTTGCTATTTCAATGTATTGCCATTTCTGAAACTGTAGTGTTAATCTTCTAGATTTCTAATTGCAGATTTGAATTTTTACAAAATTTGCATTTAATCTATTTGTTCTTATAGTGTCTTCCTGAATTGTGTTAAAGTTATTTTTGTGTTCTTGCTTTTCTCAATCTTTTTGTCAATCTTTTGAAGGTACCTATATATCTCGGTCACTTATTTGAATCATTCACTCTTATTTGTTTTTGTGAGCTAAAATTGACTGCTGTCTCTAGCACATTGCTGTATTTTCTTATTGTATTAATAGATAATTGTATATTGATGTGTTCTTAGGCTCTCACCAACTATCTCCTGTGGGTGTTGTTAGAGAATGAAAGCGTGTGTACTGTTCTTCATTTGCCATTTATGCACTTCAATTTAGGGTGTGTTTGACTGCTGCTGGCTGCTGCTTATCAATGATCTGTTGGTATAAGAGCTGGTATTGGCTCTTGCCCAGTGGGTGGAGCTGCAGCAGGTACAGTTGCAGTTGGGCTGTATGGACACATTGCTGTCTCCTGTTGGATGGGAGAGAGGAGACACTTCATTTTTTCCCTGCCACCCAGATACCAGGAAGCAAAATAGAATAAACCAGAAGCAACCAATGATGAGTAGAGAAAATAATAAAGGAGAAAAAAAGAGTTAAAAACAGGCAGGTACCATAAATAAAGAATATAATAATTAAAAAGAGAAAAGTGGGGCAGGAAAATGGAATAAAATCAAATGGAGAAAATAAAAGAAAGAAATAAAAATAACCCTTAGAAAAATCAGGGAGAGTAAATATATAAACAGAGAGTTGTTGTTGTTAAGTACCATCAAGTCGGTTCCGACCCATAGGACCCTGAACAGTGTTTCCAAGTCTATAAATATTTACCAGAGCAGAAAGCTCATCTTTCTCCCGCAGAATAGCTGGTATTTTCGAATTGCTGACCTTGCGGTTCGCAGCCCGATTTGTAACCACTACGTTCAGAGTTCCTTAAACAGAGAGTAGAGAATAGTAAAGATCAAAAGGGTGAGAATAAAAAAAGAAGGGAAATGAGAGAAACAAGAAAAGATGGAAAAACAAGAGGATAGTTAGAAACAAGGGAAAGGAAAGAGAAGGAGGAGGAGGAGGAGAAAGACTAAACAATGAAACAATAAAAGGAAAAAACAAATCCCAAAATGAAAAAGCAGGGTAGCTATTGGACCCATACAAGAGAAAACTATGTGGGGTCCCTGCAAGCCAATGATCTAACTAAGTAGGTATAGGAAGAATGTGACAGTGGAGTTTCTGGCCCTAGATGGAGTCCTTTCAGCCTCAGTGGTACCTATGTTTAGCGCACTCAATCTAGAAGTAGTTCATGGAGGTCCTTGGTAGAGTCAGTTTCAGTGTCTTTTAGGGGATCTGGGGGCAGGGTGACTGGTTAAATGCTGGTCTGGGGGCTCTGCAGGTTCTGTAGGTCCCATCAGAATCCAGGCACCAAAATAGCGCCTCAAAGCTTCACAGCTGGCCCTCGCCTTACAGTGGTGTGGCTCCCAATCACCACATGGCTCCAAACTCAGCAAGAAGGGACTGTGCTGGTGGTAGATGATGGTGGGACCTAGCCACATCTCTGGTAACCAGGGGAGCATGGGAAAAAAGAAGGCATTGTACCTTTCTAGCTACAGGTGTGGTTCTGCTCGGCCAGGCCATCTGCTAATGCTAAAGTTACTCACAAAGGTTCAAGATAGTCGAGACATGTCTAACTGGCCATTCACCAGTCATTCTCCCTATCTTGTTGTACTGCTCAGCTACTCCGCCCAGCAAACACTCAATCCACTTCTCTAATCTTTCTTTTCGAAATTCAGGGTTCCAGGATTTTCATCTGTGTCTGTTTTATTTGGTCTCTCATATCTTTGTTGTTGAGGGTCCCTGTAGTGCATCTGCCTAGTCCCTCAGTTTTTTGAGGAACCATTTTACTACAACAGTGATACCACTTTTCATTCCTACCAGCAATAAGGAAATGTTGCAACTTTCCCAAATCCTTAACAAAATTTGTTTTTGTCATGTTGTTTTATCCTATCCATCTTAGTGTGTGTGGGGAGGATAGTTCAACACTGTAATTTTGGTTTGAGGCTCTCTGAACATCATGAGTTTAGCGGCCATTTACTTGTCCTCTGGTGAAATATTTACTCAAGTTCTTTGACCATTCTATGACTGGGTTATTTGTCATTCTGCTGTTAAAGTAGTTGAAGTCATATATATATATTTGGTTATTAAATTCTTATAAGATACATGGTTTTTAATATACTTTCTCAGTTGGTGACTTGTCTTTCACCTTTTTTTGCAGTCTTTTGATAAATAAAATTTTTAAATATTTAAGATATTTTAAACAAATAATCTCTGAAAATCAAAGATTTCTAATCCAGCTGCATTTTGTTCTTTGGGTTCTGCCTTTTAAGCACTCAGACTATTTTGCTGCTGCTATTTTGCACTTTTCCTGGGATTTAAAAAACATTTCTCTTAGTAATTATTTCCCTTGCTTCTTTTCTTGGCTGATTTTCCACACAAAGAACTGAAAGTCATTTATCCCCAAGGGAATCAGCTATTTTGGATTTTACCAAGAAGTCCGTTAGCATTTTTCAAGATTCCTTTCTGTTGCTTTCTTTGCTTTAAAGAAAGTTCTGATTTTGTTTCATTTTCAGCTGGACTTAAATGGCACCAAGCAAAGTCTACTTAGTTTAGATTTCCAGGTAAATTTTTTTTTTTTTAAATTTTAAGTCTCTACTAAAGTATGTGAAATGGCTTTACTATCTGGGTGTTTTATATTGCAAATATGTTTAACATATTAGAAAACTAGTTGTTTATTAATAGTTTTTGAAGCTTAAAGTATGGATTATTATATTTACTTGTTTTTTTCAGAATGAACTTTCCCAATATTTCAAAATTTACACAGTTAGAAATAAAGTTATTTTTATATGTTTAGACAGAATTAAGTGCTCAATAGAATTACAAATTGTTTTGAAATTTCTATTCTTTCTTTGTTTTTAAGTCTTAAAAGAACATCAAGGATCAATTTTTAAACTTTTAAGTGAAGTCATAATATGGCTTTGTGTAGAAGTTTAAATTTACAAATTCAGTATTCCTAAAACTTACAAAAAACAACAGATGATGAGAAATTTCAAATGGTAAAAAATAATAAATCAAGGTTTACAGATGATATTTAATGTTGAAATGAAGACATATATTACTAGGAAGAAAAATATTATTTGATCAAAATGATACATATTATAACTAGAGTGCTATTAAATTTCACCTCTAGAAACATACTTACTAACTTAGGACATTCCTTAATAAAATGCAAAATTCTATAGACCACGGAAAATAATCAAGCCAAAGCATCAAATGTAATATTAATATTGACAGATCATTTTACAAACATTATTTAAACATTTCAATGAAATTATTAGGTACTGATTTCATAAAAATTAAAGATAAGAATAAATAGTTTCATGGGTGGGGGGGCATGTAAGATTACAAATGGTTCACAGGAGGTAGATACAGGCACGGAGGGGTATCCAACCTCAGCTTGGCAACTACTGGTATAGTCTCCACTATTTACTCCTTCAGGCAATGACTTGGCAAGTGTGTGTTGATAGGTGGCTTGGGGACAAGTGGATATCTGAGCTCCTCAAGGGATGCTATGCTCAGAGCCCTTGAAGTCCAAGGCCTGGTTATCCACAACATTCACCCATGGTAGAGCTAAGAGTATACACTTACAGTTTTCAAACCAAAAAAAATGCCACTGGACATACTTTATACTACATAAAATATTTATGCTCTGCACCAGAGCCCAATTTCCTGATCACTCAGCAAATCCTAGTTCTACCCTGTCTTACAGTTTAATTTGTGGTTTTACTTTCTCTTCCTATTATTGCCATTCCTTTCCAGCATTCTAACTTATTCTCTGAATTGACTTTTACAATTTCAGCTGGCAATCAACTAAGGCATTAGCTCCTTCCTTAGATTTTAGATTTGTTTTTAACTAAAACTAAAGAAGATTACAGAAAAATATTCTAATATAGTTTCATTTCAATAATATATACTAATAGCTTTGAAATGACTACTGTAAGTATTGCAAAAATATGTTGAGGGTGGCTGACATGAAGACAGATACCTTGGTTGTTGTTGTTATGTGCCATGGAGTCGGTTCCGACTCATAGCAACCCTGTACAGGGTTTCCGAGGCTATAAATCTTTACGGAAGCAGAAAGCCTCATCTTTCTCCTGTGGAACAGCTGGTAGTTTCGAACTGCTGACCTTGTGGTATTGTAGCCCGATTCATAACCACTACGCTAGGTACTGTCAAGTCAACTCCTAGTGACCCTATGTACAACACAATGATACACTGCCTGGTCCTGCGCTATCACAATTCTTATTATGTTTGAGCCCATTGTTGCTGCTATGGTGTCAATCCATCTCATTAGAAGTCTTCCTCATTTTCGCTGATACTCCACTTTGCAAAACATGATGCCCTTTGCTTTGAATAATCTCTCCTATCAATGTGTCCAAAGTACAAGAGACAAAGTCTCACCATTCTTTTTCCAAGGAGCATTCTGGCTGTACTTCTTCCAATACAGATTTAGTTGTTCTCTGACAGTTCATTATACTTTCTATGTTCTTTTTCAAAACGTTAATTCAAATGCATGAATTCTTCTACAGTCTTTATTATTCATTGCCCAACTTTCACTTGCATATGAAAGTGGTTGAAAATATCATGGTTTAGGTCAGGAGCACATTAGTCCACAACATCTTTGCTCTTTAGCACTCTAAAGAGGTCTTTTGCAGCACATTTGACTAATGCAATACATCAGTTTATTGCATGACTGCTGCTTCCATGAGCACTGATTATGGATTCAGGCAAAATTAAGTCTCTGACAATGTCAATCTTTTCTCTGTTTAATGTTAAAGTTTTTATTGGTCCAGTTGTGAATTTTCAACTTCTTTATATTGAGGTACAATCTATCCTGAAGGCTGTAGTCTTTAACCTTCATCAGTAAGTATTTCAAATCTTCACTTTCAACAAGCAATCTGGAAATCTCAGGTTGTTAATGAGTTTTCCTTTAATCCTGATGCCACACTCCTCTTCATACAATCCAGCTTCTTGTATTGCTTGCTCAGCATACAGTCTGACTAAGTATGGTGAGAGGATACAACCCTGGATCTCATCTTTCCTGAATTTAAACAATTCAATATCTCTTTGTTCTGCTCGAGTGACTGTTTTGTGTTGTTGTTAAGTACCATCGAGTCAATTTTGTCTCACAGTGACCCTATATAGGTTTTCTAATGAGCAGCTGGTGAGTTTGAACTGCCATGCTTGCAGTTAGCAGTCCAATGCTTAACCTATAGCATCACTTGTTGTTGTCATTAAGTGCCATAGAGTTGGTTCCAACCCATAGTGACTCTCTCTAGGGTTTCTGAGGAACGGCTGGTGAGCGTGAAGCACCAACTTTGTGGTTCAAACCAACTTTGCAATCCAGCACATTAACCCATAGTGCCACACTAGGACTCCATAGCACCACTAAAAACTGCTATTTTTGAGATAAGGTGAATTGGTAGGAAAGCTAGAATATGAACTAATGAAATCTAATAGGCAAAGATGACTGCTGTGAATGAAGTTATACAAGAATCATTGAAATTCAAGAGAGAAAATGAAACAAGCACTATAGTCTGTATTCTCTCATCAAATCCCTACAAATAACAGAAAAAAATGTTACAAACTAATACATACTTAAACATATAGTGCACTAAGAAATAAGTACTGGTGTGGCACTGCAGGATAAGCACTGGACCTCAAGGTAAGTTTGAACTACAAGGTGGGTGGTTCAAACCCACAAGCTGTTCCTCTGAAACCCTATACAGGTTGCTATGAGTCAGAACTGACTTGATGGCACTTAACAATAACAAGAAATATGATGCTATGGTGCAGTGGGTTATGTGTCGTTTCCATGAGTTGGAACTGACTTGATGGCACACAGCAGCAGGAAAAAATAAGAGGGAAAAATCTTGGTAGGACAGAAAATGAGAAATCTGTGAAAGATGGAGAGTAGATAAAAATGGACTTAAAGAGAGATATGTATCTTTGAATAGGCATGAGGGACACCGAGTATAAGAGAGCTTATGTATAAAAAAGAAAAGCCTTTTGATTAAAAAACCCCCAAGAAGGGTATTATTAAGACAAAATAAAATACAGAAAACCCACTGTTGTTGTTCAGTGCAATCAAGTCAGTTTTGACTCATAGTGACTACATACAGGGTTTCTGAGGAGT